GTGTTATGTCCTATGGCATTTTGCTATGGGGCAATGCTGCCGATGTCGAAACGATTTTCATCCTGCAGAAGAGGGCTATTCGTGCTATTTATAATATGCACCCGAGGGAATCCTTGAGGGACAAGTTTAAGGAAATCAAAATTCTAACTTTAGCGTCCCAATACATTTTTGAAAATTTATTGTACGTGCGTAAAAACATTGAAGAATTCCCCAGAGTCTGCGATTTGCACAATGTGAACACTAGGAACAAACATAGGCTTGCGTTGCCGGCGGCTCGAATTAAGAAAATAAGCAACTCTTTTAGGGGGCTGGGTGTACAGCTTTTCAACAAGATCCCACTAAACGTTCAACTACTACCTGTTCATAGATTTAAGAAAACTGTTAAGGAACGTTTGTGCAACAAGGCATATTATAAAATTAAGGATTATTTACTAGATGGCACTACGTGGGAATGAGGCGCTCGCTCCTGGCCTTTTCATTTTTCATTATTATTATATATTTTTTTTATTGTATTTTTTTGACTTGTTTTTTCTTTTATTGTGTATATTTCTATTTATTTAAAAAAAAAGAAAATATTTGAGAAAAAACAAAAAAAAAAAAAGCCCGCTGAGTTTGTTTCGCCGGTTCTTCTCAGGACTGTGGCTTTTTTTGGAACCGGTGGTAGAGTTAACATTGTTATTTGTATTTTGACATTCAACAAGTGTGTCATACTGACATCTAAGTTGAAATAAATGATTTTGAATTTGAATTTGATAGCGGTGACAAAGGGCGAGAATTTAATACGGCTTCGATTTGCGTCAAAACCGTGGTGAAATCCTCATAAGTTAATCTCGCATTACCCACTATGCGTCTTAGGTGATATTTACACGATCGCACCCCACTCTCCCATAAACCACCAAAATGTCGGGAATACGGCGGAATAAATCGAAATGCAATGCCGTTATCGGCTGCATAATCTGTAATTACTTTGGAATGGTTTTCTAAAACCAAAGGGAATTCCTTTTCGGCATCAATAAAATTTTTCCCATTATCTGAAAATATGATATTGGGTTTACCTCGCCTACTAGTAAACCGTTTTAAAGCCAAAATATAATCATTAGTGGAAAGACTTGTAACGAGTTCCAAATGTATAACTCGTGTCGTAAAACAAATAAACAAGCAGATATAAGCCTTAAAAAGACGTGTTCCTCTCCCTTTACGGTTCAATACGAATACTGGGCCCCGCGTAGTCTACACCTGATTTCATGAATGGAAAACTAGGTTCCAGGCGCTCAGAAGGTAAGTTACCCATGATAGGTGTCAGTGTCTTACCCTTAATACGTGTACACATCACACATTCACGTACTATCCTCTTTGCTAAATTTTTAGCATTTAGCGGCCACCAATATTCACGCATAGTAGCCAACATTAGCTGCGGACCGCCATGTAACAATCGCTTATGCTCGTATCTAAATAAGCTAACCGTGAAAGGATGTCAACTACATAATAAAACAGGATGTTTTTTATCGAAGTTGAAACACGACGCGTTACTTAGTCTACCACCGACTCGTATGATTTTATAATCGTCCAAAAAAACATTCAAACTAGAAATACGGTTGTATTGTTTACAATTTGTTCGAATTGGAATCTTGTTGATTAAGTTATTACAAACGTCCGGAAACGACCTTATTTGCACTAATCTAATGAGCATTCGCTGTGACGCGTTCAATTCACTAAGAGTTAAGGAACCGGTTTGACGGCTATCCTTCGCGCGTGTGTTATTTATGAATCGAAGTACATAAGCACCTATTCTTTTTAATTTCGTAAATGATTCGAATCGCTTAAAGTCAATTAAATCATCGTATTCTGTAGAAGATAAACTCACTTGCTTAGATTTTAGTTCTGGTAAAGTTTGACAGTTCGGTATATCGGAATTTTTAATGTTTATTGGATGTATTTGGAGTCGTAAAATTGCAAACGCCGAATTATTTGTATCTTAAGTTGACTTATTTAGGAGATGGCGGTAGGCAATCGCGACAACGCTCCCAAGTGTTTGCGACTCCTCGACACTGCTCTGCTGCTTTTAGAGGCAGCTTCCGCTACTTGGCCTCTAAATGTTGGAACAACATTCCTCCACCTATCCGGCACCAGAAAACGCTAAGGTCCTTTAAAACAAATTTAAAAGTATATCTTTTGAATATACAAGAAAAATTCGAAAATATCAAATATAATTACTCCGTTCTATAATTAATTATGCTTTGCAACTGCAATTTTTATTTAATTAATTTAATAATGTCATTTTGTTGTCCTTTTCATAACTGTTTTTTTTATTTTTTTTTATTCATGTTCTTTTTATTTTTTAGTATATTTTACAATGTTGTGTATTGGTCGGTCTGATGCTGGTGTGCGCGTCACTCCGCAGGTGCCGGCGGAAGATCAGCGCCGCAGTACCGATTGTTTCGTTACTGTTAGGCATTGCTGAGCCGGTAACCGTTTCCAAGCCTCGTTATTTTTGTTATCTTTTTATTTATTTTTTGTACTTAATTTGTGTTTGGAATAAATGTTTATTATTATTATTTATTTATATTTATTTAAAATCTTATTAATTACATAATATTTTTTAAAAAAGATATTAAAAATACAATTTTTAAAAAACACTATATAAAAATAGATTGCCGCTGATGGCGGTGTCTACGACACAAGCCACCAGTGGTTAGGACTCCAGAGTGAGAAACCTCCTCACAATGCGTGCAGTATCGAGGATAACTGCTTTCTGTATTAGGCCCTTAACCCAGCTGGATAACGAAAGTTTCTTAAGATGTTGATCGAAACTTTTCGCTATCAAGCCGTGTACCGACACAACTATTGGAACAATGATGGTTGAATCAACATGCCACATGGCGGTAGTCTCGTGGGCCAGGTCTAAATATTTTATTAATTTGTCCTTTTCTGCCTTCACGAGGTTCTCGTCATGAGGAATGGTGACATCAACCAACACTGCTCGACGCGCAGATCGATCTATTATCACAATATCAGGTTTATTGGCAACAATATACCTATCCGTGATAATAGATCGGTCCCAGTAGAGCGTAACATGACCATTATCAAGAACTGGTTGAGGTTGGTATTGGTAATAAGGTACAGCAGAATCAAGAAAACCATATTTCAGAGCAAGTTGTTGATGGATAATCCTAGCCACTTGGTTATGTCTATGCAAGTACTCGCCGTTAGCAAACCGAGAACAGCCAGAAACAATATGTCTAATAGACTCTCCCGGACGGTGGCATGCCCGACAAATGTCGACCGTCCCATCCTTTAGTATATATTTCCGGTAGTTGTTCGTCATGATAACTTCGTCCATAATTGCAAAGATAAAACCTTCAGTTTCCCCAAAGAGGTTACTGAATCGTAACCAGGCCACGGAAGCTAATTGGTCTACATCAGGCCCTGTGAGAGCCCGGTAGAACCTACCGTGTAACTCCTTGCTCCTCCATACGGTTATGCGATCTGAAATACTCTCTACCTTCAGCCTCTTCCAATTCCCGTTAGCTAAGGATAGCGGAGTTAGCCCCTTATCGACTGCAACGACATCCCGATACATATTCACGTTCATCTTAAGGAAATATTCCCTAAGGTTGTATATCACTGGGTTATGTAGATCCTTGGCATTCAAAATACCACGACCCCCACATTTCCGAGGAATATACAACCTCATTACAGACGAACGTGGATGATGCATTCTGTATGCCGTTAACAATCGCCTGACTTTTCTGTCCAGTACGTCCAGCTCTGATTGCGTCCACCTTAGTATGCCAAAGGAATATGTTAACATAGGCATGACCCAACCATTAAACGCTCGGATTTTGTTTCCGCCTGATAAATGGCTTTTTAAGACCTTTATAAGACGACCAAAAAACCGATCTCTAAACGATTGTTTCATATCTGCGTCAACAATTATTATTATTTTTTTTTTTTTTGTGTGCCTTGCAGTAAAAGCTGCTCATATCGAGCTCGTCACCGCCTTGTCATCGGAGGCGTACATAGCTGCTCTCGATTCGTGTCTCGTCGAGGCAAGCCCCGCAGCATATAGTCCGACAATGGGACAAATTTTGTTGGTGCTTGCAACGAACTCAAAGGCGTCTTTTCAAACTCAGACATTGCGTCATTCATGTCTCAAGAAGGCATAGATTTTAATTTTTCTCCACCTTATTCCCTTCATTTTAATGGTCTGGCTGAAGCAGCGGTTAAGGCCACTAAAGGCCATCTCAAAAAACTCCTCAGTCTTACTCACCTCACGTATGAAGAAATAAATGGCTTCGTGCTTATGTCAAATTGAGGCCATTCTAAATTCCCGTCCACTTACTCCTATTTCCTCTGATCCGTTAGATTTAACTGCCCTTACTCCTGCTCACTTTCTGATTGGACGACCGCTCACATCAGTTCCGCATCCGCAGATTACAGACGGCAACATCACGCGCTTGGAGCGCTACCAACGAGTGGAACTCATCAGGCAGCATTTTTGGAAGCGCTTTACTAATGAGTACATTTCTCTGCTGCAGCAGAAATCTAAATGGTCCACCTCTACAGGGAGCTTGATACCAGGGACGCTAGTCCTTGTGAAGGACAGGACTCTACCGGCTCTGTTTGGCCTTGGGGCCGCATTACCAAGAGGTATCCGGGCAGCGACGGCATCACACGGGTCGCAGAGGTCAAGACGAGGACGGGGACCGTGGTGCGAGGCTTCAACTCCATCTGCCCCCTCCCTCTTCATTGAAGTACCAATATATACTTCAACTCGGGCAGTCTGTCGTTGCACGGACTTCGACGATCGCGCGACGCGGGCGCCAGGAGGAGGACAGCGGCGCGGGGTCGCGTTTTTACAACATCTTCGACACTTCGTGCAGTAACGCCACCCGCGACACTTTCTTGTTTTACTCTTTTATTTGAAACCCCGGTCTACCCCAGAGCAGTAGTAAGAGTTACAAAATCTTTTGAGACCCATACGCGTATAACGGTACAGTTATCTGAATCTAATTTAGAGGAAGATGTAATTAACGCTATAAAAGAATATGTACACCCTTAAATTAAAACCGGCTTATTAATTAACCCTTACCTTGCTATGTACAAAATAATACCGGTAATACAGAGAACTTTCAAAAATTCGTCAATGAACCTCACACGAACTAAGCGCGAAGTTGAGAATGTTCGAGAGTACCTTAGGCAGCAAGAAATAATTAATAAATACCACTAGGGAAAGATAAACCACCGGGGTATTAACGAAACATTTTTAGCTTTAGCTCATAAATAATACTGGCCGAAAATGAAGAACAATACTTTTTAAATCACAAAGACAAAATTACCATAGCATACAAGACCATACATGACCTCTCGTGAGAAACTAATCGAGAATCGCAATAAGAATCGAGAACCAGAAGCTGAGTTTAGTCCCGAACAACAAACTTTTATTGAAAATCCATTTGCTTCGAGGCAAAAGCTAGCACCCCGTTACACTCACGACATAGTTATGGCGGACCTCCCAATTCATATATACACTAAGAAGAAGCGAGGTCCGATTGCCAAAGCTAGGCTAAAGAGAGTGCCTAAATCCGCCAAATTGTTACAGACCGCTGGTGATCATCTAATCCTGGGAACGTCCCGAACGCAGGAGATAAAACTTGAAAGTCTCCAGGATGGACCCGGCATATTACCTTTCAACATGGGATTTGCTAAGATCATATCTCCTATCATTCTTTCCTACAACTATTAATCTTCAGGATATTAGAAATATCATTAATTCTATTAATGATCAGTTGGAAAGTATTAGCCCTGATTTGCATAATAAAACGCACTCTTTATAGGAACCTCATTTAATCTTCCTAAGGAATAAGCTTGATACCGTTTTGAGTCAGTTAGAGACATTTGAGGCAAATCGTGCTAGGAGAGGTTTGGTAGACGGTCTAGGATCGGTAATAAAGAGCGTCACAGGGAACCTTGATTATACAGATGCTATGCACTATAATCAGGCCCTTAAACCCCTTCAGGATAACCAGAACGACTTAATACATGAATTTCATATTAGCTTAACAAAAAATTGGACAAATCAATATTCTCGGGTCATAGATAGCATGGTAGATAAACAAAATCAGCACACTGATAAATAAAATCAGGGAAACTGATGCGACTAGAGAAAATGATTTAATTAAATACGCGCATTTCGCTCAGTCTCTTATTATCTTAAGCGATAACGTGGGTTCAATATCTCAATAGTTAATTAAACTTCAGAATATCCTAGCATTTATTAGAAGTTCCACTGCACATCATTCCATTTTAAATCTACACACTATAAGCGACATTATTAAAAAATTAAGCAAGCTTTATAGCAAAGAGAGAGAGTAATAGATTTATATAATAGATTATCTTAGAGAAAATTTCGACATAATTAGGTTAGGATCATATTATCTGTAAATTTCCCATTATAACCCCGTCTACTCATGACCTATATAAACTCTCTATAGTTCCCAACAGGCATAATGAAATCGTTTCTCCTCCCTATCCTTTCCTCGTAATCCACCAGAAAGAGTTCAGGTACATAGAGGCTGAATGCCCGAAGACCAGCAAATGGTATCTATGCGAAGAAAAACGGAACCTCCAGAGTCGATCAACTGAAGATTGTATCCAGCAGCTCATTACGACTTAGCAAAGAGGTGCCACTTGTCACCCTGTATCGGTGGCGTTAGACCACCCGGCATACGAAGAATTGGACGAGAGGCATTACACCATCAGCTTCCCCACTCCGACGAAAGTACATCTCTCCTGTGGCCAACACCTGTACCAAACATTGCAAGGGAGCTACTTAGCCATAGTCTCACACCTATGTTATCTGGAGACACCGCAGTTCACCATCATTAGCACCAATAACCGACTAAGAGGACAAGCTGTAAAAATCATCAATCTACCCAGTAATGTCGTCGTTGCGTCCAACATCTGCACCAAAATTGACACTAAACTCCGTTGACCTGAACAACCTACATCAAATCAGCACAACAGTCTCCGCGCAGCTTCCGATGAGACCACATAGAGACACCGACTATAGCTTTTATCACACTACGATACCCTTCTATGTAATACTGTTAAGTGCATGTACACTAATTAGTGACCTTT